GCTCAACTTCCTACGTAAAGAGCTCATTGAGGACGGAGTAGGTGGTTCTTCGGGATCCGAGATTGGCGGCGTGGGAGACTTTGCTTTCACAGGCCGTTGGGCACGGGGGCCAGAAGGTTTCTGCAGTGGCTTTACTTCGAGAGGTTCCGTGATATTCCCAAGGTCGCCTGTCTGTGACCTCTTCAGGAAAGCAGGATCCGCGCCGGGCTTGGGCACGGAGGAGGACAAGAATGGAGACACGCTGGGCTTTCTGGTCGCTTTATAAGGTACCGGTATCGGGACCCCTGCGAAAGACTCGGACGAGCTTGTGCCGTCAGCACCTGATGCACTATCAATTCGGGAGTGGTGCACAGTGCTGCTGCTTCGCAAATTGGGGAAATCAGACTTTTCGTCCTGTCTGTTTCTTGAGAAGAAGGAACTTTTCGACGCGGTCATGGGGGTAGTCGGTGTCTTTGCGATGATGCGTGAGGGAGGGGGGCTCAGGTTTCGGTCGGGGCCATTTTGGCCCAAAGCTGCAATCTTCGCGGTCGTCGATGGGTTCAGCGGGCCGACAGTAATCGGGGGCAGCCGCACGGGTGGAGGGTTCTTCCTCGATGGGGGAGCGTTCCCCTTCTTTTCGGCATCCAAGGGGGCCGCATTCGTCGACTTCCGGGTACTAGCCTTTCGGGCGACCTTAACAGCGGGTTCGGGGAGGGATGGTATGGAGAAGCTGCCAGTCGAATTGCTGTTGATGCTGCTAGCATCCGCTGCGAGGTTGGCTTTGCGCTTATCCAAAAACGATGCCTCCGTGGCTGACTGCTGTGGTGATTCGTACGCTTTCGGAATAGCAGGCACAGGTGGGACGTCCTCCTCGTCATCGGCGGAATGGGGGTTATGATTATGCGGGTTCGACGACTTTGGCGCCGGTAGCCGCGATGTAGTACCTCCTGCGACAGGCGCTCGAGGTTGAATTGAGCCTGTTGATGTCCTCACCGTATTGAAACTGTTGGTTGAGGTGATGGAAAGGCCGGAGCTGTACGATTTTCTGTTGATATCCGGGGTCGTCCGGGAGGACGATGGCGTGGCAGATGTCTTCCGGGGTATCATTGATGGCGACCGAGAGTGCTCTCGATGCTCGAGCGGCGGTGGTGGCGGCGCGTTGGCCGCCTGGTTGAGACTCGGAGTTTGGTGCATGGACATGCGCTTCAATCTTCGCGTGTCCGTAGGACTGATGGTCCTGGCACCAAGTCCGCTTGCGTGTGACGCATGCTGCCCCCCAGGCATCATAGACTGCCTTTTTGATTGGGCCGAACCGTTATTAGTTCCTTTGCTGCCGCCTCGAGGGGATCTCGGAGAAATCGTTGAAAGGCGGGTGGTGTCTGGTGTTGATAAGTTGGCAGTATTTGACCGGGGAAGTGGCTGGTGCATCGATTTGGCCTTCGTCGCTCTACTGTTGGCGAGATTCCGTGGAGTCTCAAAGCCCATGCCGGCACCGGCATCCATCGAGGTCCGAGAGAAATCCGTTCCACTGCCAACGGTGCCCATCAGGCTCGGCCTTCGACGTTGAGCAGTGTTACTGCCAAAGTCCGTTTCGATGACGCCCGAGCCGATGGATTTCCTGGGTGGCTTCGCAATGTTGGTGTTTGATACCGGAGGGTAGTGGCTTTGCCGTCGAGACCTCGCTGCGGCCGTTGACGCGTCTGCGGCGGACGAAGGCCCAGAAGCGATAGATGAGATGCTTGGTTGTCTGCTGGACGTGCTAGGTCTTCTCAAGATTGAACCAGATCTTCCAGGGCGAGTAACGGCAGGTGGGATTCCACCACGCGCAGACGCGCCATTCTGGGAGATGTTTGAGACCCCGCCCATCTTGTCGGCCATGCTCTGGGAGTCAAGAATACCACCTTGGCCGGTCGGGTTCGGAAATTGAGTCAATTTGAAGTCGTGTGAGGCCGACTCGAGACTGCTCTGGAGGTCGTCGAAGCTGACCGAGGGCAGAAAATCGTAGGAAGGTGTCGAGTCTGCTACTTCGTTCGCGGCGCCATTCCGTCCAAAAGAAAAAAGAGGGTGGTTGTTGGCTGAAGATGCACTGAGCATTGGACCGCCGGCGAATGAGCCCTTTGAGGGTGAGTTGGTTTGCGAGTCTGGGATTCCCCTATTACTGCAGCAATCATCGGGTCAGCTCTCTGTAAGGTAGTTATCCATCCAGGGATGCATGGGTCAGGGCATAACAAAGCGGCGTGAACAGCAACGAAGAAGCGAGGGCAAAGTTGAAAGGGGGAAGTGGGAATGGGAATTAGCATACAGTCTGGTCGGGGACTGGTTCGCCGGTCGTGGGCCAGCAGGTATTCTATGCTCCCTTATCATGTGTACGCGGTGCAACGGCCAGCGCGCAGATCATGCGAGCGTTGGACGTGATATGGCGAGAAGGCGAGGGCGGCAGAATGTTTCGAGGGGGAGAATGTCGAAGCAAGTCGGGCTTGTCGACACAACGGCGCTGAAGGTCGGGTTCGCGATGCGATGCGGGCGAGCTCAGTCCTGTCAGGGAGCTGAGGGCATTGAAGAAGCTACCTCATTCCGGGACAATACTGGACAGGCACAGGACGACAAAGGGCGGATGATGGAAGGGTTGGCGGTGTTGGTTGGGGTGACAGAAGGGACAGGAATTTGAAGATGCGAGGATTGGCGTTGGTCGAAAGGAGGCGGGCACGGGAGGCGTAAACCACCAAACTCGGCCTACGGTAAGGTAGGAGTGAGGTTGGAGAGGGCTGGTGCAGAGATGAGAGGAGGAGGACGACGACGAGTACTGCGAATGGGCCGGACTCTCTCTTTCTGGCGGGCTGCGTGTGTCTACTGGTTGTTTTTGTTCGAGAAAGAAGGACCCGCCGCTTAAGTTGTCAGTGTGGTGGACAGTGGACTGGTGGTAGGCGGGCGAGCAGGTCACGACCAGGGTAGGTGGTGGAGCGTGCAGTGTGGATGGGGGATGGAGCCAGGAACGAGCACTAGAGAAGAGAGCACTGGAGCCTCTAGAGATTTTTGTCTTCTTTTTTGGCTCTTCCTCGTTGTTTCTTGAACCCCCCGTCAAAGTGGTACGAAGATGCGAATGAGAAGCGGTACATCAGTGTGGAGGAAAGACGGGCAGAGAAGTGGATTGTCATTTGAGATAGACGGTAGCAGAAGACTGAGAAAGAGAGAGCAAGTAAGGTACTTCCTGGTTACCTGAGGTTAGCCCGAACGGGGGGAACTCTGGAGTAGGTACCTAGGTCTGGAGTGCGAGGTCACTCAGAGAGTCCCGTCCCTTTAGTTTATTGTTAAGGTATCGGTACCTTAGCTGATGGCGCAAAGGCACAAGATGCCCAAGGCGAGGTCAGGCACATACAAACAAACATGGAATACTATTCGTAGGTACAGAGTAGTAGTAGTAGTAGTAGTAGTAGTAGTAGTAGTAGTAGTAGTAGTAGTAGTAGTAGTAGTAGTAGTAGTAGTAGCAGTAGTAATCATCGACCACCAGACACGTTCCGTCACCCAGTCCCGTCAGGTTGTCGTTAGGTACGCAACTTCCGGCCATCACTCTGAGGGGAGGATCTGTCATGCACCTCGCGACTGACCTGAGGGGGCTTGCTAACATCTACGGCAGGCCGATGCGGCAGTAGTGCAGGAAACGGGACCAATGTTGGTAGACTAAGCGAGCACCAATGTCCAGTTGATTGAGGGGAGTCGAGAGAGTTTATCCGTGAGGTAAGGTAAGGTACCATGTGCGGTTCAGGAACATACACCACTTTGCATGCGCTACTCCGTGCAGCTGCAGCACATTTCCGCAGGACCGTTCTAGCGGCCAACCTTGGGCAAATGACGGGGGGGGGGGGGGAACATCCATCCGAATGGAAAGGGGGGGAGAAAAACAAAAATGCGGCGGCGGGTGATGATGGAGTCCCTGGACCATGAATGCGAGCGAGGAAGAAAAAAAAAAGGGTGGTGGTCGGTGCAGTGCCCGCCGGCCCCTCACTCACATTTTGGCAAGAGCGAAAGAAAGGGAGGTCGGGGGACCGCTGCAACAGGGATCACCTGCTGATTGCACGAATTGCGCCAGTTGCTCATTAGACGCGTGTATCGATTAGTACCTTGCCTAAGACTTCGCCATCAAGAGGTACAGATGCTTCGTATCTTGAAATTAGGCAGGAAAGAGAGCACTGCTGGAGAAGTGTCTCTCTCCTTCTGTTGATGCTATCACCACTCAAGATTTTATTCCAAGAGGCAAGAGCAAGATACTCAAGGTACTCCATAGGATCTGCCTTACTTCGCAGGTACCCGTGGCAGCGGGGCAGTTCGTACCTCACACCGCATTCTCAGGGAAGAAACTCTCAAAAAACCACCAGGTCGGTGTGATCAAATGATGGAACCCGTCAAGTCTAATAGCGTGCTTTGGGCCCCCTCCTATTCCCCAATTCCCCTCTTCCTTGGGCCCCTTGGACAATTGGCCGCTAAATAACCTCGATAAAGACAAAATGAGGCAAATCTCATGAACCAAGCGGATACCTTCCTGTGTACGGACTACGGAGTGCAGATACCTCGAATCCATCGCATTTCATTCTCTGCAGTCTCCAGATCATACGGTATACCTTGCGGATGCCAATACCGAATACTCTATCGAGCAATTTAGCAACTCGGCACCATTTCCGTCCACCTACCGACCGACCCAAGTTTGTGGCTTGCCCTAAGTCTGAATACCCCGTACGGATACGCATTTCTTCCCGCTATCTCTACGAAGGTTCCAGAGAAACTCGGACCCTGGCCGTTGAAGCGCGATCTGCGGCAGCGGGTTCTCTCATTTACCCAAGATTCTGCTGTCCACCATTACGAGCAGCCAAATATCCAGACACTGATACAAATACCTACCATCCGTGCTTGCTTTGCATCTACGGAGTAGACTGAAGACAGATATACCAGTCTACTCGACCTCTCCAATAGGTACGAGGCGTCGGCTGCTAACATCATCTAGCATCCAATGTCGACGCCTCGCACGTATGGATAGCTTGGCCAGCATGGCTAGGTTGACATCAACTCTATTCGTGCTCTTTCCGTACAACCGAACAAGCACGACTCGCCCAGGTCCCAGCGACCCAGATCAAGTTTCGGGTTGTTGCAGCCATCGCACGCGTGTAAGCTTCGCGGGCGTCGTCCCTCAGTCAGCGACTTTCGCGTTGCTGCATCCCATCTTCTCGTCGCTCTCTGTCTTTACTCCGTCCGTAATTCGTTCCAAACTTTGCCGCGACTCGTCCCAAATTGAGGGGCATCCAACCGTCGAAAAGAGCTTCCCGCGTTTGTCAAGCTCGCTGCTATTTCGACGCGTCTCTCGTTCCCGTTTGGGGCTAATTGGGACACTGCCGCGCCCGCCATCACGGTCCAGCAGCAGTTCGGAGCTGCAAAGATGCGTCCCTGCGTCACCGCGGGCCGTTTGTTGTCCTCGTCGCCGCATCAACCAAGAGGAAGACCCTGGGGGGAAAAGTGACATGGGGGGTGACGGGTGAGGGTCAAGTGCCTCAACGCCCAAAAGCAAGATGCCCATCTGTCCAGTGGAATTTGGGGGTTCTGTGGCAAAACGGCCTGCTAGCCAGGATTCCGAATGCTTGGGGGTCCCGCCATATGCAATCTGCAACCTGCAATCCTCCTCTCCGCCGCCCGTCCTTGGAGGAACACCGGTCGGTATTCAACCACAGCCAACCAAGCCGTTTCCCGACCAGACGCCCGTCACGTAATTTGTCCGTTGTGGTCCTGTGCCGAGGATCGCAGGAAGTTCATCCCTCGTCTCCTAGGACGACCATCGACGAGCCCAATGCCAACGTCGACGGGAGTCAGCAGGGCTTCTCGCAATTATCAAATGCCTTCCTACCTGGATATCTTTCGGTATGGAGTAGCCAACGTGGACTCATAGCATTGGGCGGGTCACTGTCACTGGCTGACAATGGCAAACCCCAGCTTGTAAGAATTGGCTCTGCATTCGGCCCCGAGCGGTGGCTTGTCTTACGGGATGGATTGATGATTTGCTTTTGCAACCAACGGTACGAATACCTGCCACTTGTCATTCGCAACAATTGGCCGACCTAACAGTCCAATGGAGGACGCTGGCAACCCATACATTCGCCGTGCGTCTGTGGACCTTGAACGCAAAGTTCGAAAATTGCTTCATGCAACTTCAGTCGGTCGGGCTCTTCGTAGACTCTTTTCGCTTGCAGATCAAAGCTGTCAGAGCAACTTCGGTTGCGGCCGACTATTGGGTACCAGAGGAATTTCAGGACAATCATATGAAGGGACATGATACATCAACACAAAACCGCATCGCCTTGGTTCCTGATGCAGACCATCATTTCGTGGGATATTGTTTTGCCCAGGCCAACGACCAATCACCGAACATGATCTCCGGGCCTCTGCGTTTGTTTTCTTAATAAGGTGCTGCTATAGTCCTTAACCACACCGCCTGCCTCATCGTGTCGCAGAACAGGGGCCCAGCAGATCTCTGTTTCGAACTCCCTCCGTCTGTAATGCGAGCCATCAAATTTGGGATCTACAGGGCACTGACATTCACAAACCAATTCGTCTTTGGTGATTCCGTCAGCAACAAGTCATCTCATGTGGACTTTGAGAGGTTTGGTGACTAGAGCGAGCAGAACCAATCGGCGATCCAAACCCAACTCATAAGTGAATCGCCTCACCTGAGCTATAGAATAAGGTTCGATCGAGTCGGCCAACCGTCGACGGAGCATTATCAAGCCTCGAAGCAGCCCGCTAGGCCGATGTCCATTATCGAAGCCTGAAAGTGGCTTTTCAAGACTACAGTTGAAGCTCTCGGGAAGAACCCCTGAGTCTTGACAAGCTCTCCAGCTCTTATTACGACTCACTACCCGATCATTGATCTACCCTAGGTGCTGCCTCTAAGTCAAAGGAAACACTAACCCTCTGGCTCCATTTCAGCCCCGAGCCCGGGCTGCGTCGAGTCCCCAGCTTCTGCGCCTAACGCCCGACAGTTAAGGATCAATCATCCCGCCCCTCGTGTACACAGATAGCGTGTACAGAAGTACGGTTATTACGGGCAGACGAGCAGAGTACGGTACGCTGGTCACCGCGCCGCCGATAGTCTTAGAGCTCAAGCTTGCCACAGGGCAGGTCAACCTTGCCCTGGATAACTTGGACTGGCATGCGATGGCAGAAACAAGACAGGGTCCGAGCTGATCAAGGGATGCATGCCTCCTTTTCTCTCTGGTATACACTCTGGCATCTGGGTTGCCAATTGCCTTCTCTGCCCCATTCCGTCCGTCCCGTTTTCCGTTCTTCGGGCTTCCGAGCGGCGTCCACAACTCATCCTTTCTTCCTCTCCTTTGTTACAGCTGCAAATACACTCATGGGCTGATGATTCTAGAAGCACTGACCAACGCAGACGGCCACAGTCATGGTCTAATCTCCCATATTCCCGTTTCATGGAGGCTCCTTCTTGGCCGGCAATCCATCGCCTTCAGTCCCAAGTTACTGATTCAAATATTTCATCCAACGTCAGGGGATCTTATTAAGTTGACCAAATGTTAGATCAGTTGACACTGAGAACAGCCAAAGTTTCGCACGAGGAGGCTTGCACCACTGGCAACCTCTATCAACGGGAGAGTTACTTCCTGGCTTCAAGAGCTGAAACAGCCGGCCGGAATAATTCGAACTTAGACTCATCCATCGCCATCGTGTGCCTAGGTACTCTGTGACTATTTGCTTTCTGTTGTGTAGACAGACGGCACGGAGACAAATGTCTCTCTATGAATGGGCCGATCCAACATTCCACTTTCCTCAGACAACTTCCTCACCGTCTATCCAGATCTCGTGGATATTCCGACTTCTTATTGATCAGCCATAGCTAACCAATATCCGTCCCTGTGGCTCTTGGGTCTCCCCTTTCCATGGGCAATCAGCCAGACGGGTTTGGAGGAACGGGTGCGGGAGGCGTGGCCGTACAGGCAGAGACGCACACCAACAACTAAGCTCGTTGCCGCTGGATCGTAGACAATGTGGTCAAGCTCCAGTGGGTTTACTGTTCCTGCAAGACGAGGCCATTTCCAATGTGCGTTCTGATACGGGTAAGTGGTAGGGAAGGGATGGGGGCCATGGATGACATTTGCTGTGTGGCAGAAGCTTACTGGAGCATGTGATGGCTGCCACGGGCTCTGTGGATTGCGGTCTGCGGCCTGCTGGCATCGGACCCAGTTCCCCATGCTGCGGCCCAAATCACATGCAGTGGAGGCTTGCAGCTTGAGGGGAGCTTCCGCCGGTCCAGCCGGGCAGCTCCAATGACATTCCCCATGCACCGATCCACATCGTAACCTCAACGTCTCACACAGCTTCACAGCTTCCGGACATTTTGGACAAACTTAGCTCAAGCGCATCTGAGCTATCTACGCAGAAGACAAACACAGATCGCGTTACCACCCGTCTCATCATCCCCTTGCTTTTGCAGCGAACTGCACGCGCACCCACACTGCCAGGCGGCTGTCCGCTAAACGATGACGTGACCTCCCTTCAACGACCATCAACCCACCATCAAACGAAACAACCGCCGGCGCATCCTCTGCTACAACTACCACCACACACCCTGCGCAGAAGGTACGAACCATGGACGAGTATACGGCCGACCTCTTCATATCTCGCGACGATGCCTCGGATCATCAGCCCCATGCGCAGCCACCTCCGACTGTAGTGGTTGACGAGTGGCCTCACGATTCCGACGTCAGCGAGGGCACCCCGTCCAAGAAGTCTCCCTCCGGCCTGCGCTCGCGCATCGCGAATAACCTCAGCAAGAAGACGAGCATTCAAGATCGTCTAGTCGAGAGGTGAAGCCTACTTTCTCATAGCCACAACTCTATCTTCTTGAGAAAGAAACTGACGCTAACTGAACCGCTTCACCCAGGCTCCTCCAACAGGTCATCCCCGAGAGCTCTGATGGCCTCACAAGCGGCGGCGACGATCCCCTCGCCCCGGGCTTCTCCCCGGACAAGACGAGCACCTTTTCCGAGCGGCCCAACTTCAACATCACCACAATGTCCAACAATTTCCGTCGCTTCAACGCCCGCATCGGCGTCGTCTTCAAGTTCCAGGCCCGCGTCGTCCGCCTCCTCAGCTGGCGCCGCCCAACACACACCCTATCCCTCCTCGCCGTCTACACATTTGTCTGTCTGGACCCGTACCTCTTAACCGTCGTGCCCCTCGCCGGCTTCCTCCTCGCCGTCTTCATCCCTTCCTTCCTCGCCCGCCACCCGGCTCCGCCCTCCGGCACCCTATCCTCGGAGCAATCAGTCGGCTACTCCCCAAAAGGTCCGCCCCTCGCCCCCGCCCGGACTGTGAAGCCCGTCAAGGAGCTTAGCAAGGACTTCTTCCGCAACATGCGCGACCTTCAAAACTCAATGGACGACTTCTGCGTCGCCCACGACGGCGTTGTCGCCACCGTCCTCCCCATCACAAACTTCTCCAACGAGGCCCTCTCTTCGGCCCTCTTCCTCGCCCTCACCCTCACCACGGTCCTCATGACCACCTTCGCCTCCCTCCTCCCCTGGCGCCTCATCGCCCTCCTCGCAGGCTGGGCCGCCATCCTCTCGGGCCACCCGGCCATCGCCCCTCTGCTGACGCACACCCACGACACCCACGTCGCGCCCCACGAGGCCCAAGCCCGCTCCAGCGTGGACGCCTGGATCGCGGGCGATATCATCCTCGACTCGGCGCCCGAGACGCGCGAGGTCGAGATTTTCGAGCTCCAGCGCGCGTCCCACGATGAGTGGGAGCCCTGGCTCTTCTCACCCTCCCCCTACGACCCGCTCTCCCAGCCCCGCATCGCCGGCGATCGGCCCCGTGGCACGCGCTTCTTCGAGGACGTGTTACCGCCTGACGGGTGGGTTTGGTCCGAGAAGAAGTGGGCGCTGGACCTGTGGAGCAGGGAGTGGGTGGAGGAACGCATCATTACGGGCGTCGAGGTCGAGACGGAGGGGGAGAGGTGGGTTTATGACATGTTTGATGAGAATAGTGCTGCTGGCGGCGGCTTCGGGGGCCCGGTGGACTCGTCGCCGACAACGATGGGGAAGGGGAAGGCGAGAGTTCCTAGCGCGCCGCTTTCGGGATGGGAGGAAGGGGAGGACGGGACGGGGAAGAGGGGGGAGTGGAGGCGGCGGAGGTGGGTTAGGCTTGTCAAGAGGCGGGCTACGATGAGTACTGCTTGAGGGGGTTAGATGAATGGATTGTATAGTACGGTAATGATAACGACGTGATATTTAATGGGCAGTCGCCTCCAACGTGACCCTCCGATATAAATGTGGACATGAGGTCCTCTCTAGATTTGAGACTGTACACTAGATCAGATGTGTCCCGCTCGTAGCTCGAGTGTTCTTGATGGAGTACCGGTCAACCCATCACAGCAGTTGTCGAGACGTTTTTTTGCGGTTCCGAAGTCGCTATCCTAGTGAAGTTACTATACGAGTGTCTCTCGCCGTCCCGGGTCATCACCTGC